GCGGTTGATAAATGAAAAAGGAAGTACAGCCTTATCCGTTATGCATTACTCCAGGTTTTTTACTGATGTCCTTTGTTGTTGACCAATATCCAGAACTGTTTAATATTCAGAGCACCCAACAAAGACACAACTGACCATATTCCCGACCAACCTGAACTAATTATAAAAATCAAGCGTGAATAAAAATTAGAACTGGTTTACCATCAACGGTGTATGAATTTCAAATTGTTTTCCCTGGATGAGCATTTAGACCTGCTTTTCAATGAACGACGGGTGTTATCTGATCATCTGGGTTTGGTTGTGTTTCCTCTGAGGGGAGTAATCTGAGCAGAGGATTAATAAGTCTTGTAGAGATAAAACGGTTGTTTAATTGGGCCTTCACAATAACTCGAAGACAATACAGACTTAACTGTACCGTATGTTGTGACCGATCTAGTCGGCAAATAATGGAAGATTACAACGGATTCAACCTTGAACGATGACTTTATTTCGCCTACACGACTCGTGGTTCCTAATCCCGTAGTCAGGCGTTCCAATGCCCTACTCCGGGGGAGTCTGGGTCCTAATACACAACACCGTAGACTTGGCGTATCCTTGAGTTTGAACACGCTTGAAAATTGGAAGCTTCTGGAAGCGGTACAACAGCATGGTCCTGAGCTCTGCATGGGGAACTGCGTTCTAAAGGAAGAACTAGTGTCGCTTAACTGAACTTTTTTTCACCTGAAGCTGGTCCAGATTAGAACGGTCGAGATTAGGACAAGTCGAGAATACCGGTACATGTTTATCTTGTAATGCCATTAATTTGGCTAAGCACTAGCAACATCTTTTTTTGTCTGCGCAAAATAGGAAACTGACTGTAATGTCGTTTTGAAGGCTGTGGGGGGGTGGGGGAGGGGTGAGTAATAACGATAATGAATTTGTATGGCCCTAGAACTATAAAGTATTCAGAAGCGCCTTACATTAAAAAAAATCCTGAAAAGCTAATAACAACAATAATAATAATAATAAATTTCCTTTCCATGCTAAAATCTAAAAAATGAAAATCTAAAATTCTATACAAAATGAAAATTAAAATATTCAAAGCACTAAACATTCATAGCTATTCCAATAAATCATAAGCTTTCCTAATAAGAAATGTTTTAAAATGGCGAGGCTGCTACTTGTTCTAATAGTTAATGGCAGCGAGTTCTATAAAACAGGTGCAACATGAGCAAAGGCCCGATCCTCAAGTGTAGAGCAGTTTACTTTAGTAACGAACAGGAGAGATTGTGCAGACGAGCGAAGTGCATAATTAGCAGCTGGTTTCATGGACAAAAGATCTTTAATGTAGGGTGGACTTTGTTTGTGTAGGGACTTGTAAACAAAAATGAGCAATTTGAACTGAGCTCGGAACGTTACTGAAATTCTAGGTCGATAAGTGTGGGTGTGATATGATCAAATTTAGTAATCTGAAAAATCACTCTAGCCGCGGTATTCTAAACTTTCTGTAAACGATCAAGTTGATAGTTTAGGTAAACCAAAAAGAAGTCGTTACAGTAATCAAGGTGCGAAGATACAAAGGCATTGATCAGTGTCTTTGTCGATTGCACGGTGAGGAATGTTCTGATCTGTCTTATGCTGAATAGTCCGCGAAAAGCCCTGCTACAAATAAAAAATCTTGCCTATATGAACATTCATATGTGCACTGAACCAGTAGTACCCAAGGTTCCGGACGCTTTCTAAAGTTTTAATGACTGTTACCAATGGTAATAGATTCAATAGATGTTTTTTCAAGTTTTTGACGGGTGCCAATGGTTAAGAATTCAGTTTTTGCGTCATTGATCATTAAACGATTCGCAATGAAGCAGGAGCGAACGTCAGCAATGCACTTCTCAATCACAGAGACAGCTCTAATATCCGAATGGATAGAGGGAGTTCGGAAAGAGGGGTAAATCTGAGTGTCGTCAGCATAACCATGGATGGAAGGGAGATATTGAGAAATAATGTTAAAAAGGAGGAAGACGTAGAGAGTAAATAAAATAGGCCCCATGCAACTGCCCTGGGGGACTGCACAGTTTAGATTAAAGTCGTGAGAGGTCTTATCACCAACAAGTATACGTTCTTTGCGACTAGATAAAAATGAATCGAACCAATTTAAAGCAGACCCGACGACTCCAAAATCCTGGTGCAAGATATTCAGAAGAATGGAATGTTCAATGCCATCAAAAGCAGCACTAAGGCGGTCCAAGAGTACGTGAAGTGTCACTATTATCCATACTCATCAAGATGTCGTTTTGAACCTTTAATAGAGCAGTCTCTGTCGAGTGAAACTTACGGGAGCCGGACTGGAATTTAGGAAGAGGAGCATTTTTTTCACAGTGGACGAGGAGTTGTTGAAGTGCAGCCTTTTCCACTACCTTAGAAGTGAATGGAAGATTACTGACTGAACGGAAATTTTTGTAGACCAAATCAAGTCCATGCAGGTTTTTTTTTTAACAGAGGGATGACAATAGCGGTTGTCCAATTTCCACTGAGAAGAGAGAGATTAACCATTTCAGTGATAGAGGGCGCTAATACATCAAGACAGACTTCACTAGCCATGTAGGAACAGCCTGATCCAACCGACAAGATTCATCAATGGAGGATTTTGAACAATATTACACACTTGTTCTATGGATGGCGAGGAAAACTCTTTAGATTCTCCTTAGGAGTAACAGGAAGAAGTCGAGGTTCTTGAACTTGACACTTGTCAAAATTTTCCTAAATGATTTCTTTTTTTTTTGAGGAAGAAGGTTCCAAATTCGTTTGCTAGCTTAGTGGGATCATCGTGCTCTGGGAGAGCCGTCTCAAGTGGTTCCCTGGACAAAGAATTAACCACACGAAATATATATAGCTTACGTGAGTCGCCCTGACACTGATCAATTAGGTTTGAATAATAATTCACACGTGCAGATTTAAGAAGTGCAGAGTACTGATAATACATCAAAGTTTGCAAAAGCGAACAACCCAAGTAAATTTCTAGCAGACGATGAAGGAGAAATAAAAAGGTTGGTAGGTAGCAAGTTCAGTTATAAATCATGATACACTAATTGATTCATGAGCAAAATATATTCGGAGCAAAATATATCGGATCCGACGTTGAGCAAGATTGTTCGTACACGGTTTTTGCAGTGTTTTTGTTACCTTAACTATAAACATTATATCAGGAGCCTAAAACCCATGAATATATATATTCCAGCGTCTCACTTCGGATTTCTGGAATGATGTTTTGACTGGCAGCTCTTATTAGAATAATTGAGCAGCTTAGTGGTCAAACTTAAAAAAAAAAAACCTTTTGTCTGGGGTGATGAATCTTAGATAGCATTTTACTCTCCCACTGGCACTTGGGAAAAACAAGTGGCAACTGGGGTAGTGCGGCGTCACTTGTCTTACTTCCCCTCCCTCGGTTTGCCTCTTTCGCGATTGCTCCGTTATTCACTCTTTTTCCATTTAAGGAGCCTGGTCCCAAGCTATTAATTACTGAACAATAAAAGGAAGTCAAAGACAGACCTGCACGACTCCCAATGTGGTTTTTGTGGTTGCGTCGCATTATCAAATGCCTTCGAGTTACATTTTTGCTCTTACAAGCATGTCTTTCAGAGATTTACCTTTTTTGAAGGATATGATCGGAGGTCTTCTAAAAATTGTTTTCAGCAGAGGCTGATTTTCTATTCGGCTCCAGTTTGCCATCAATGTCTTTTTAAGATCTTGTACCGCTGGGGTGGTATGTTGTAACGAAATGAAAGAGTCTCTTTTTACTTTTTTGCATTTGTTTTAGCGCCGATTGTCTTTGGTCAAAGTTGACCTCCGACAACGATCTTTCTATATTTTGTATAGGGTACCCGCTTGCTTCGAGGCGTTGTTTAAAGTTCGCAAGGCACTCATCAAATGTCGTTTTTGAAGAGTTTGTTCTAAGTAATCTTCTTTAATGAAGCCTCTTTTTACCCCCGGAGGGTGGCACGAGGTAAAGTGTGTGCATTAAAAGGTTTCAGTCGGCTTATAGTGGGTTTAAATGGATTGGTCACCAAAATGTATTACCGACGGTGTCATTATAATGCGAAAAATGTCCCACACAAAGGCAACCGCTGGGTTAAATATGAAAAGTTCCACTTAGATCATTATTGCTACCGGATAACTTGATTGCTTAAATCATAGGATCGTAATATCATAAATATTATAAGACATTATCATATGAAGAATTGTGGAGATCGAGGAGGGTGTTACTCAGCCTCATTCATTCATTGTTAAATAATTTATTCAGTTATATTATAAAATTGATCAAATGCGCATTACATGAAAAATTTAAACGTAGGCAAGTGAGGAATGTCGCGAAGATGACGCGGTAAAGCATTTCATAACTTGGGCCCTGATTGAGCCACCTGAAAGGACCCATATATCAGCTAGTGTAACCTTGGTTCTAATTGTTGGCGACGCTAGCAAAATCCCACCAGACTATCTGAGATTATATGCGCCTGCGGATTTCAGAGAAACTAGGTCCTCAATATAATTATGGATGGGCTATGCTATGAACAGCCTTGAATGCACATTGCAAAATCTTGAAATGAATGCGCTGCTTTAACAGAACCCAATGTAGCTTATACATCAATGGTGTCATGATGAACGCGGGGCGTAACCCACAAACCTTGCTGCAGTATTTAAAACACGGTGAACCATGTTAAACTGCGAGGCAGCCCAGGTAGACCAAACGAAAGGCTATATATGGCGATATTGAAGGATAAATTAAACTCCCATTAAATACATATTACGAATGGGAATAGTTGTTTTATTAACGTTATATATAATTATTTTGCAACAATTAACAAGAAAACATGGCAAAGGAGTACATAGTTGAATAAACTACAAGAATTGAGAAAACAACGTGAATAAACTGAGGTTACAATATTTTGACCGGACAATACCGGTCTTCATCAGGTTTATTAGGAAAAATCAAATTAAATTTCTTTGGATACAATTTAAATGCTTTAGTTAACAGCTGAGTTCACTAAGATAGCAAAACGAATAACTATAAATGTTACGACTCCAACACCACTGAGGAGGGCAATTATATTCAGCCACATAGCGATCTTGGAATTTCTTCTGGCTCCTTCATAGTCGCCGCCATTATATGAACTGTCCACCTGTCAAAAGTATTTTTAAAACAAGCAAGATCAGAGGTTAAATACCCATTTAGTAAATTAGAGGTGAAAAATGAATAATAGTCAAATTGTTCATACAACTGGGCGTGACTGCTAGCGTTACTAATATCGGTCTGGGCTTAATGTTTGAACGGTTGTCTCGCACCCTGTAGAGAGGGTTCCTAGCTAGTTTAAATAAGTTGTAAGGCTTTTATCAGAGGTCTAATACTACAGTATACATAACCATCATGATCGTAGAAATGTGTTCCTAACTGTTAGATACTTGCACTCCTACCCCGGCCTGCTTGCAGATTTTCTTAATCTCTGGGCTCGACTCCGCACCATCAAGCCATCAGCCTCGAGCCAAGGGAACTGATCAGAAGGGTCCAAAACAGCCAAAAGAAAGATTAATTTTCGAAGATAGGTCTAGTAAAAGTGGTTTTTAATTCTTACCATGCAGGAGAAGATCATAGCGGCTAATCCGATAGGCCAAGCGCAGAACAGGAAGGTAAATATCGACAAACCAAGCCACGTTGATGGACGAGGTGGAGCAGATGGTAAGATGACTGTCTGCGTGGCCTGATAGGAGAGGCAAATAAAGAGTAAATTTCAGACAACTTAGTTACTCAAGCAGAGTCTTAAAAATTCGGTGCCCATATCTCAGAGTGTTCATCCCGCATAGATGTTTATTTTGCAGAAAATATGTCAGTTAATGGTTGAGCTTTATGCGCTTTTTAATGACACCGTTCAATATTTTACAAACTAGTGTAACAGAGATGGCCAAGTTAAAAAAGCCTGTTAGGTAGTTTTTTTTTTCAAAAACCAGTGAATTTATTTTTCCAAGATAAGCATTTCCGAGTGTATGAGTTTAAAGAGGTGCTTTTCAAACGCTTATTTGGTTAATGAGAACGCCTGCAAGCCGTTTTTAGAACGGAATCGAAATGGAGCATTCAGTGTTTATACAATATTATAACTTGGTTTCTTTGCCTGCTTAGGTGAATAGAAAGCAACTTTTAAAAACGTACAGGCATTATTACAGTGGATGTATGATGCACCGGAGCAGGCTGAAGAGTTTGAAGAGGATACGTAGGCTGAGAAGCTGCAAATGGATGAGTAGGCGCAGTATAACTGGGCTGTTGTCCAGGATAATGCCCAGTAGCTTGTCCTAAGTACCCTTCGCTTGCAGGAAAATGTAACTGAGCTGGGTAAACCGGCTGCGTTTGGGAACCTGACGGACTTCCACCCATTTGTTGTTCGGTGTAGGGTGGTGGCGCAGCGGCCTCATCTAGAAAATAGAATATATACAGAAATATAGAAATATTTGGATATTATTAACAATAAATAATGCATTATATTTACTGGGTTAATTGCGTTGTGATAAAGAGGAATGCCATCATCCAAAAGGTATAGATGTGTTTCCTGCTTATTTCTCTTTAATTTGAAGAGCAACGACTCGAGGAATAAAACAACTGATCGGAGAATAAATCACACCTGTACCTTGTGGAACAGCAGCAACTTTCTCTGTGTTGGCCATCCCTAGCTCATCATAGAAACAACTTTCATCAAGTAACCAGTTGTTAATGACTTGAGCTCAGCCGGGATTTTTCCTGAAGTGGAGAAAGAAGATGACGTTAGCCCTGCGCACATGAACGTCTTGAGGAGACTTTTTGTATCCTCCTCAGAGAAATTCATGAAGGTATTAATGATAAACAGGACAACTACTACTCCTTTTGGAGTATTCATTAATCTTAAAAAAGCCTTCGAAACCGTCGATCACGACATTTTGCTTGATAAGCTCAATCACTATGGCTTTCGTGGAATAATTAATGATTGGTTCTCCTCACATCTCAAAAATCGCACGCATCAACGCAATTAGGCCATGAACAATCAGATAATGCCGTCGTTGGATGTCGTGTTTGTCAAGCAGCAGTTCTTGGATCATTGCTTTTTTTGTTATATGTCAATGATATCCACAGATGCTCGAATAAATTTAGGTTTTATCTCTCTGCAGACGACACTAACATTCTCTATGTGGACAAAAATCTGAAAGTTCTTGAGACAATAGTAAACAATGAGCTACAAAACCTTTATAACTGGTTGACAGCCAACAAACTAACTCTTAACTTTAATAAATCCACCTTTGTAATTTTTCATCCTTACCAAAAGCGACTTGCTTACCAACCAAAACTTTGCATGTTTGATAATGAAAAGAATAAATATGTTCGTCTCGAGTCTTACTAGTTTACATAAAATACCTGGGCGTTCGTAATAATCAGAATCTCTCTTGGAAATACCACATTGATTCTATTCAGTTACAAAAATTAGTGAAAATGTTGGGATAATTGCAAAGCTATGCCACTCTGTACCTCCACCAATACTACTGAATATCTATAAGTCACTAATTCATCTCTATTAAAGCGTCGCGTTTTCGATCTTCCCTTGCGTAAACGGAAGTGGCTCTGAGATAGAGTCTCTTTTTTTGCATGCAAAACAAAAGCAAAAATATTAAAAACATCATGGGATTTAAGCCGTTCTATAGACAGGAGTTCTGAATAAGCAGAATTATGAATTCCCATGAAGTTTCGGAGTCAAGTGGGAATTCGGCACACTTCTTTAAAAAGCAGAGCAAACAACACTAAACGTAACACGAATCGTTTTAACTCTTACTAGTATTCTTCCTTAACTCTTACTAGTATATTACTCAGATGCGCAAGATTTCAGATCAGTATAGGTTGTCAGAGTAATAGCTAGCGGCGACAAATAACCAAATGGACAGACCGTTTAAAGTAAAGATTAATGATAAATTTATATTTTGTCGTTTAAATTCATAATATTAAGGGCTGTCTTTGGCATCCTAGCTTATCCAGGGCAACAATTATCATTTTCCCAAATATTTGTACAATACTGTAGCAGAGTTTGATATTATAGATGTCGTGAAAGTTGGTTTTATTTTTTCACTTGTGATGCCTCATGGCTGATTATACAAGCTGTTGTCTTTAAATAGTGAGAACTCTAATATTCGTAGTAACTGGTCTACAATATACTAGACGCGCATTCTTATTAGCCCTCTACGGACAGGACCATCAGGAATTCTTACCTGTTAACACTTTAAACGGAAGAGCTTTGGTTGAAGAAATAAAGCTGTTACTGGGTGCGGTTGATAAATGAAAAAGGAAGTACAGCCTTATCCGTTATGCATTACTCCAGGTTTTTTACTGATGTCCTTTGTTGTTGACCAATATCCAGAACTGTTTAATATTCAGAGCACCCAACAAAGACACAACTGACCATATTCCCGACCAACCTGAACTAATTATAAAAATCAAGCGTGAATAAAAATTAGAACTGGTTTACAATCAACGGTGTATGAATTTCAAATTGTTTTCCCTGGATGAGCATTTAGACCTGCTTTTCAATGAACGACGGGTGTTATCTGATCATCTGGGTTTGGTTTTGTTTCCTCTGAGGGGAGTAATCTGAGCAGAGGATTAATAAGTCTTGTAGAGATAAAACGGTTGTTTAATTGGGCCTTCACAATAACTCGAAGACAATACAGACTTAACTGTACCGTATGTTGTGACCGATCTAGTCGGCAAATAATGGAAGATTACAACGGATTCAACCTTGAACGATGACTTTATTTCGCCTACACGACTCGTGGTTCCTAATCCCGTAGTCAGGCGTTCCAATGCCCTACTCCGGGGGAGTCTGGGTCCTAATACACAACACCGTAGACTTGGCGTATCCTTGAGTTTGAACACGCTTGAAAATTGGAAGCTTCTGGAAGCGGTACAACAGCATGGTCCTGAGCTCTGCATGGGGAACTGCGTTCTAAAGGAAGAACTAGTGTCGCTTAACTGAACTTTTTTTCACCTGAAGCTGGTCCAGATTAGAACGGTCGAGATTAGGACAAGTCGAGAATACCGGTACATGTTTATCTTGTAATGCCATTAATTTGGCTAAGCACTAGCAACATCTTTTTTTGTCTGCGCAAAATAGGAAACTGACTGTAATGTCGTTTTGAAGGCTGTGGGGGGGTGGGGGAGGGGTGAGTAATAACGATAATGAATTTGTATGGCCCTAGAACTATAAAGTATTCAGAAGCGCCTTACATTAAAAAAAATCCTGAAAAGCTAATAACAACAATAATAATAATAATAAATTTCCTTTCCATGCTAAAATCTAAAAAATGAAAATCTAAAATTCTATACAAAATGAAAATTAAAATATTCAAAGCACTAAACATTCATAGCTATTCCAATAAATCATAAGCTTTCCTAATAAGAAATGTTTTAAAATGGCGAGGCTGCTACTTGTTCTAATAGTTAATGGCAGCGAGTTCTATAAAACAGGTGCAACATGAGCAAAGGCCCGATCCTCAAGTGTAGAGCAGTTTACTTTAGTAACGAACAGGAGAGATTGTGCAGACGAGCGAAGTGCATAATTAGCAGCTGGTTTCATGGACAAAAGATCTTTAATGTAGGGTGGACTTTGTTTGTGTAGGGACTTGTAAACAAAAATGAGCAATTTGAACTGAGCTCGGAACGTTACTGAAATTCTAGGTCGATAAGTGTGGGTGTGATATGATCAAATTTAGTAATCTGAAAAATCACTCTAGCCGCGGTATTCTAAACTTTCTGTAAACGATCAAGTTGATAGTTTAGGTAAACCAAAAAGAAGTCGTTACAGTAATCAAGGTGCGAAGATACAAAGGCATTGATCAGTGTCTTTGTCGATTGCACGGTGAGGAATGTTCTGATCTGTCTTATGCTGAATAGTCCGCGAAAAGCCCTGCTACAAATAAAAAATCTTGCCTATATGAACATTCATATGTGCACTGAACCAGTAGTACCCAAGGTTCCGGACGCTTTCTAAAGTTTTAATGACTGTTACCAATGGTAATAGATTCAATAGATGTTTTTTCAAGTTTTTGACGGGTGCCAATGGTTAAGAATTCAGTTTTTGCGTCATTGATCATTAAACGATTCGCAATGAAGCAGGAGCGAACGTCAGCAATGCACTTCTCAATCACAGAGACAGCTCTAATATCCGAATGGATAGAGGGAGTTCGGAAAGAGGGGTAAATCTGAGTGTCGTCAGCATAACCATGGATGGAAGGGAGATATTGAGAAATAATGTTAAAAAGGAGGAAGACGTAGAGAGTAAATAAAATAGGCCCCATGCAACTGCCCTGGGGGACTGCACAGTTTAGATTAAAGTCGTGAGAGGTCTTATCACCAACAAGTATACGTTCTTTGCGACTAGATAAAAATGAATCGAACCAATTTAAAGCAGACCCGACGACTCCAAAATCCTGGTGCAAGATATTCAGAAGAATGGAATGTTCAATGCCATCAAAAGCAGCACTAAGGCGGTCCAAGAGTACGTGAAGTGTCACTATTATCCATACTCATCAAGATGTCGTTTTGAACCTTTAATAGAGCAGTCTCTGTCGAGTGAAACTTACGGGAGCCGGACTGGAATTTAGGAAGAGGAGCATTTTTTTCACAGTGGACGAGGAGTTGTTGAAGTGCAGCCTTTTCCACTACCTTAGAAGTGAATGGAAGATTACTGACTGAACGGAAATTTTTGTAGACCAAATCAAGTCCATGCAGGTTTTTTTTTTAACAGAGGGATGACAATAGCGGTTGTCCAATTTCCACTGAGAAGAGAGAGATTAACCATTTCAGTGATAGAGGGCGCTAATACATCAAGACAGACTTCACTAGCCATGTAGGAACAGCCTGATCCAACCGACAAGATTCATCAATGGAGGATTTTGAACAATATTACACACTTGTTCTATGGATGGCGAGGAAAACTCTTTAGATTCTCCTTAGGAGTAACAGGAAGAAGTCGAGGTTCTTGAACTTGACACTTGTCAAAATTTTCCTAAATGATTTCCTTTTTTTTTTGAGGAAGAAGGTTCCAAATTCGTTTGCTAGCTTAGTGGGATCATCGTGCTCTGGGAGAGCCGTCTCAAGTGGTTCCCTGGACAAAGAATTAACCACACGAAATATATATAGCTTACGTGAGTCGCCCTGACACTGATCAATTAGGTTTGAATAATAATTCACACGTGCAGATTTAAGAAGTGCAGAGTACTGATAATACATCAAAGTTTGCAAAAGCGAACAACCCAAGTAAATTTCTAGCAGACGATGAAGGAGAAATAAAAAGGTTGGTAGGTAGCAAGTTCAGTTATAAATCATGATACACTAATTGATTCATGAGCAAAATATATTCGGAGCAAAATATATCGGATCCGACGTTGAGCAAGATTGTTCGTACACGGTTTTTGCAGTGTTTTTTTTTACCTTAACTATAAACATTATATCAGGAGCCTATAACCACTGAATATATATATATTCCAGCGTCTCACTTCGGATTTCTGGAATGATGTTTTGACTGGCAGCTCTTATTAGAATAATTGAGCAGCTTAGTGGTCAAACTTAAAAAAAAAAAAACATTTTGTCTGGGGTGATGAATCTTAGATAGCATTTTACTCTCCCACTGGCACTTGGGAAAAACAAGTGGCAACTGGGGTAGTGTGGCGTCACTTGTCTTACTTCCCCTCCCTCGGTTTGCCTCTTTCGCGATTGCTCCGTTATTCACTCTTTTTCCATTTAAGAGTGTGTCCATGAGAGAACCAGGCAGGGGGTGATAATGCTCAAATCACGGATTTCGCTCAAACTTGGCACAATTGATGGGTGCGGTGAGATATTAACCTCCACAAAAAATAAGGTCGCAATATTGAATTCCCTGGGATTTACAGGGACCCCCCCTAAAAACGACAAAATCTACTCATTTTTGCATAATTAATTAGCTGACTTTGGTTTGGCTGTTCAACAAGAAGAAAAGACAACTTCAAATCTAATCAACTTTATCATCTTCTATGTTTATCAAACTTAATGCTCAGTAATTTATTTTTACTCTCTAATTCGATCTCTTCCTATTATTTAGCCTAAAGTAAGGACATCTTCTCACTGTTTTGACCAAACCCTAAATTTAAGGTATTTTAGTGGCTAACATCTCCCATGAGCAACAACCTATGTACTTAATTCTCACATATTCTTTGAAAGACATCTTTAAGGTTATCAAATCAATCATAAAATATTTGGGCAATCTCATACTTTATCAATAATGACGTATTATGTACATCTGACTTGACGCTTATTTGTCATTTGACCAAAATTGGAAGAAACGTAACATTCGTTTTTTTAAACAAAAATAGCACAAAGTTGACAAGAAGTCACAAATCAGATGCGTCATTATCGATACTAATAGCGGAATTGTTAGAACGTGTCACCTGAGGCATGTTTTCTGTGTTATTTATGGACGTTTGGATGGATATTTTATGGAGCGCTTGAGTAAACACAAGGAGCAAAAGAGTTAGTTCAAAACTTCGATCGGTCCAACTTGTAGGTGAAACAAGACCCAACAAGGATAAAAGATAGTGAATAAATGTTACATACACGTCTCTCAGGTGCTTTAGTCCAGATTTGCTGCTCCAGTTTCGTCTGGTCCTTTGTGGCGTTACTTCGTGACGAGGTAATGAAATCGAAACATCTTGAAACATTGCAGAATTAAAAGTGTCGGCTTTTCACCGAACATTCGAAGTCTTTGAAATAAGTTGTAGTCAGAAAGAACAAAATCATTCTCAAAGGACAAGAAGGATCACTGACAATCCGTCTATATCTACAGAAAACAACCACCTGCTCGAACACCCTCCATCTTTGACTTTAGACTCTGCCAAAAAGATGGAATCTGTGACGCCGGACTACCGGACTCCGGAATGCGGAATACGCTATCTATTGTTGTACGCGCCAATATCCTGTTATAACTGGTGTGTTGAAAATAGGTTGTGAAAGTCGTGTTACTTGAAATTTTGAGTTTATTCGATGTTGACATTAATTACCATGATAATAATGGTCCATAATAGCCCTTTTTGTAGTCAGACCGTGCCGTGCAATTTTTAGACAATTAATGACTTGCCACTGGGTATAATTACTTACTTAGTTGTATTTTAATCCTCGTAGTCTTACAACTATACAGGTTGGTATCTGTATCTGGGTATATTATTGACTACAAAAATATAATAATAACCGTTTATAAACGTGTTGAGGAAAAACTTCTGAGGAATACAAAAGACCCAAAAGGGGGCACTAATACATTGCAAAAAAAGTCGGCTAGACTTCTTTGGCTATAAGGAAGGTGTAAGAGAACAGTTTCTTGAACACAGACTAATACACTATATTCACTTCTCATTTAAGCTGTCATTTGCGGATTCATACAGTAGATTAAGTTCTCTTAACGGACACTCTCGTATATAGCGAATAGCTCTACTTACGACCGCCATCACAAAATCCCGTTTCAACTCCCACACAAACTCTGGATTTTTACATTCCCGTAGGCGGCCGCGGACACTTAAAGGGTTTACCGGCGAATTAGATGTTAGCTTTGATTTAAAGCTCTCCTAAGCAGACACTCGAAAGAAATCTTATCCGCCTCTGAATGTTGTTTTTTTTTTTTTCATATCATGTCCACAGTCATATGGCTGTTTGTCACTGTTATGAATCATTCTTATATATCCGTTTCAGAGTTACCGTTTTTTCACATACTCGTCCGGTTACACTTGAAAATACAAACTGAATTGTATGCTTTTACCTAAATTACAACAAGGCAAGAACATCAGCGTAACCATACACTAAAAAACAGTTTTTTGCTATTACCAGTGTTAATTTGTAGCTGGGAGGAGCTTCCGTAAGCGGCTATCTAACCTTTACACCACTTTTAAAGTGGCTGAATTCCACTTGCATAACTATGCTGCATATGAGATTCATTCTTGTAAGCGGCCAGATCCAGTTAAGGACACCTTTTTCTCGTCCCGAGGGCGCCCTCGTACGAGAGCTTCCACTGTATTACAATTTTAGGATTTCTCTTACATTTTAACAAATTTTCGCTTAACGAGGCACAGTCGAACCTACGTGCGACCACCCAACTTAAGTGACCACTTCCCAATAAGCGATCACTTATTCAACACACCAAATATATTATCAAGTCAAAGCGCTTGTAGTTGGAACCTCCTGTAAACGAACACATCCACATCCAGTAAACGACCGCGACCACTTTTTACGATGACAGTCTGATTGAGAATTTTCCATGATGCAATGGTCTGATCTCTGCGTTCCCTGTATGTCCTAAGCTACTCGGAGTATGAGAGGAACTTTAGAAACAAATTAGATTTATCTATAGTATATTGTAACTTAAAAATTGCATGCAGTACATTCACTCCAAAAAGTAGATGTGTCCGCACTTTTCCTCGTTAAAGACCTCCTGCAGTTCGACTCTCGTAAAACCCAAATTTTCCTTGGGCAACCCCATGGGCATTATTTACTGGGTGTCTTCCGACCACGCACGGACCGGAACATCAAATGTCTGTAACTTAATTGTTGTGTCTGTCCATAATTCAACATCTGCCTGCCTCAGCACGGCACACGGCTGGGCACTAAACTGGTTTTGGTGCCCAAGAGTACGCAAAAAGGCCCTTCCGAGATCGATGTCTAGGACGAGAAAATTGACCTTACCTGGGTAGGGTGAGAAATTTGAAATCGAAGTATTACAGTTGAAGTATCTCTCGGAGGGAATGTGGGAAGGGTGTTAAACATATGGAAGCGGTTGTTTGAGAAAAATATCTAACTCAATGTGAAAGTGTGGTGTATTTTGAATTCTACTTGGGAACATTAGTGCCACAGTTAGGCTTTATAAGACCCCCAAAAGACCGTGAGATAAAAAAAAAAATTCACTGTTTATGACAGTCAAATCTGGTGCCAGCAGGGTAGGGCATTTGTACGCAATTTGGACACTCCCCCGGGGAGAAGGGACTCCAGTATGAAAAAAAAATGGAATTCTTGTCGCAAGCCAATCTGGACGTGTCTCACGCTTTATTTGTCTCTTTGAACTGGTCTGCACCAACATCCGGCTTCACTTCGCTGCTATTTCACGTGCAACTAAAATAGAAAAAATAGTTCTTTCCAAAACACGAAGACAAAACGACTTCTATCTCCGAGTTTGAGAAGACATGGGATCATTTATAATCATGGTCTGAATAAAGTTGCCAATAGATATGGAATTCTAAATTATTTATCAGCATACAATAACAATAAAATAATCTCAGAGAATGTCGGAAAGTCATTTTGTTCACTGAACTCTGGCTCCTGGCTCCTGGTTCCTGACTCCCGATACGATGTTTCCGTATGGTGGCAACCGCTGCTTAAAAATGCGGGCTCCATTTAATGTCAAAGATGTCGGACGTTTGCAACATGTGAATTGAGCTACAACAGTGGCAGAAATAATTCTTTCAATGGGTTAAGAATCGGCTTTCTACCTTTCGTATTGTTTTGTCCTAAAACAACTTGATTTGGATTTTGGTGCGTAAACTGATGGCTAAGGAATTTTAGTCGTACAGCGAGTCACGACGCTGAACTACGCTGAACTGGACATCGAAGGTGGCATGAAGAACAAATCAAAGCGGGCACAAACTAGCAGTTGAGACATCTAAGAGATACGTATATGGATTTTATTGATCGTTTATATTGTTTTTAGGGCGAAATTGTTAAAGTAAGTAGAACTGTGAATTAAATCTTTGTATGTTGTTTTTACTTGAAAAGATCGCGTATATAGCTATCAAAAATCATCGTTAGCGTTTCTTGCACAACAATTTTTATGATTTTACCCTTATTAATGTTAAATCATTGTCTGATGAGTTTTTTTGTTCGATTTCTCCTCATTCAAAGGCAAACACACGAATATTGTGAGGGCCTGAATTTTGATGAAATATGCAAAAGTCGTTCAGTCACATGAACAGTTTATGTCAACACATGGAAGAAAGTGAATTGCCCAAACTTTTTATGATCTTTTTCTCAACTTAAGTGATGGCTTTAACTACTCATGCAAAAGTTATAAAGATAAGCGGTTGCTCATCAGAGATATTTGGGAATAAAATACCCTAATTTTACGTCTTACTCAAAACTTGGAAATGATGACCCAACTTAAGGGGGCTAAGAGGGGGGAAATCGAATCGGCGACTTTAAACAGTTTATTGTGCTTAAAGTCTTATGATGTCAGATTATCTCTCAGTGCATTTAAGTTCCAGGTGGCTTTTCTGTTTGTTGCACTGGCATCGTAAAGTTAGCTAATTAATTATGCATAAACGGGCAAAATGGCGATTTTTACAGGGGGAGCCCGGATCTCCCAGGGAATTTAATATTTTGACCTGACATTCTCTCACATAAGCTAACTCCTGATACCTAACATTTGTACCAAGTTTGAGCGAAATCGGTGATTTGAGCATTATCACCCCCTGCCTGGTTCTGCCTGGTTTTCTCATGGACACACTCTTAAGGAGCCTGGTCCCAAGCTATTAATTACTAAACAATAAAAGGAAGTCAAAGACAGACCTGCACGACTCCCAATGTGGTTTTTGTGGTTGCGTCGCATTATCAAATGCCTTCGAGTTACATTTTTGCTCTTACAAGCATGTCTTTCAGAGATTTACCTCTTTTGAAGGATATGATCGGAGGTCTTCTAAAAATTGTTTTCAGCAGAGGCTGATTTTCTATTCTGCTCCAGTTTGCCATCAATGTCTTTTTAAGATCTTGTACCGCTGGGGTGATATGTTGTAACGAAATAAAAGAGTCTCTTTTTACTTTTTTGCATTTGTTTTAGCGCCGATTGTCTTTGGTCAAAGTTGACCTCTGACAACGATCTTTCTATATTTTGTATAGGGTACCCGCGTGCTTCGAGGCGTTGTTTAAAGTTCGCAAGACACTCATCAAATGTCGTTTTTGAAGAGTTTGTTCTAAGTAATCTTTTTTAATGAAGCCTCTTTTTACCCCCGGAGGGTGGCACGAGGTAAAGTGTGTGCATTAAAAGGTTTCAGTGGGCTTATAGTGGGTTTAAATGGATTGGTCACCAAAAGGTATTACCGACGGTGTCATTATAATGCGAAAAATGTCCCACACAAAGGCAACCGCTGGGTTGGATATGAAAAGTTCCACTTAGATCATTATTGCTACCGGATAACTTGATTGCTTAAATCATAGGATCGTAATATCATAAATATTATAAGACAACAAGTTTTTTCGACGTTGTAAAGCTATTGCGTATATTAAAAAAATATATATCAAAAAACACTTAGATATCAAAGGTGCAGTTCTTTAACAAACAAATGACAACTGACTGTGCTAAAAACAATTTCCTTTGCGTAGAAAAAAAAATTATACAGCCGGCCACTCCAAAAAAATGATGACCCTTCGTAGAAGACCCGGAACTGTGAGGTGGCCTTTCTGCTATTTTTAAAGGTCTATTTATGTTACTCAACTGCGTAAACTGCGTTCCACCGTCGTTTCAGCAAGAATACTGTAACGACAGCAGTAATATGGCTAGCTTTTAATGTAACCTGGCCGCAATTTCATTAAAAACCAATATTCTTTGCAGCACAAGTTGCGGACTGGCCGTCCCTGTGCATAAGCGCCATCTAGTCTCAAGGGACTGTCCCTGCCAGCTAAGTCTTATTGGTAAGTAGTCATTTCAATTTTTGCTTTTTTCAGACTTAAGAAAATCTAGAATTATAAGACATGTAGGCATTATGAAATCAAATGGAAAGACCAATCGATCGTCACAAAGGCAAAATTGAACATGGCCAAGCTACATAACTTCCGGTGTATCGGGATGAGCCGCACAGATCAGTGCTTCTGTAGCTCTTGATCTCTCTCTTTTTTTCGGTTATTCTGTTTTAAACTGTTTTTAAACAAGTTAGAATTTATTACTACTCGCCTTTTTTTGTTTACGGCGCCACTGTGACATGACTGCGAAAGCGACTTAAAAGGACGAATGGACTAAGGAAGTAATTCGACTAAAAATTCAGTGGTTAAAGTACTCAGTCAATATAACTAACGTTACTGCGTTCAAGCATGTTGGATCCACATCTGCGTGAATTTTAAGAGCCGAATTTATCGAACGTATTGTTGATGACAACCCCTAAAGAATGTTTTTTCTTTTTGTTTTCAAAATTATTTATCTTTAGAAGCGGTCCCTTTTTCCCTCCTGGAACATGTTTATCGACTGATGGTTGCTATAGTTAAGAGATGCGAAGTCATAAGTAGCGTCAAGTTCAATAATTTTTTGATTGTTTATATTGTCCCTGTGTAAATCTATGTGTATTTTATTTGCAAATAACAGCTTACAGAACATTAATCACCTTTGAAAGGTGCCAACAATACAGGCAAGGGAAATCATGGAGGATTTACAACTCGACTTCTCAGGTAAAAAATCCTTTTGTATATTTGTATGGGAATAGTGCAACGAGCTGACTGCTCGGCCTCTGAAGAAATTGCCTCATGCAGATTCCGGAATCCGGGAAATTTCTGCTGGTGGAATCCGGAATCCGGAATCCAAGTTCCAGTGACTAAGAATTCGGAATCCAGTAGCTCCGGAATCCACAACGTGGAATTCAGAATATAATCCAAGACTGTCTTTGATCGCCTTACACTGGGGTGAAAGAAATGTTCACGTTCTTGATTGGTTTACAGAACAGGAATCTTTTCCTTATTATCTTCGCTTGACATTTTTAGCCTAACTAATTATCTAATAATATATATGTTATTCAGCGGCTGGGAGGTCCGTATTGGGAGAAACTGTGCCCGAGGTTTTGAGTACCGCCCGAGGGCACAGTTTCTCCCATTAAGTACCGACCTAGGCCGGTGAAAAGCATTTTTATTTTTTTCCTACTGAGATTTAAAATTTTCAAAAAAATTTTACTTCACTCTCCAACCTATATGTGTTGAAGTAGGACGAGTTCGTTGATGAAGCGTGCGATCGATTGCAAACCAAAACAAAACATTGCAACACGATTTTTAGCTCGGTAATTTATATTATGGCATTTTATACTGCTCTCTTTTAGAATAAAGAAAGGATTTTGTGTCTTGCTAGACAATTCAGGCTAAGTGTCAAACAAGGATAAAAGAATTGACGAGCTTGATATTAAAAGCCCCAGGAAAAAAAAGCAAGGATTTTCTTCGGCTTAATAAATTCAAAAATTGCTTAAGATAATTAGTTCAATCGAGCAGGATGAAAACTGCACAAAGGACCTAATTGCACCTACCAGTTTAAAGGTTTTGAATTGAATTCGAATAAAAGAAGGCGATTTGAGTAACAAGTTATTGAAAGAAATGAAAACTACGGTAATGGACTGCTGAAAAATTGATTCGTGTTGTTTATTTAAGAATGGAAGCTAAATGCAATCATTGACAACAACCTTTTCTGATAAGTAGAAAACTAGTGAGGCAAAATTCAATGAAAAAAGATACAATGTAGATTCATACAGGAAAAATGGAAAACAAAACTACAAACAGAGCAAACATGTCCAATAAACGGTGCATAAAAGCAAGATTGCAGAACTTACAGCGCGGTTATAAAGCTAGTGAAGCGACTTCACGAGCCACCTGTTTTGCCTTCTTTAGCGATTTTCGTGGCTGACTTGCTTGATTCTCCATTCAGATTTTTTGTCTGAATACCAAAATTCAATTTTCCCTAACTAATGCTAATAACAATGTAAGTTTTAAGAGAAAAATGGTTTGAAAATGACGGTTTTTTCTCGTTCACAAACAACAAACAAACTTGTAAATGAAACTGCCAACGATTCCGCCCGGGTTAAGGGGGGTTAGCGGGCAAGATCGTAAAATGCCGCCTGCTCTTGGAACCAATCAGATTGCAGGATTTGGAGGATTCCGCCCGCTCGCAAGCTTGGAAAAAAATAAATTATAAAATTTACTGTAGCTCTTTCATTGATTTTGCCTCTCAGTTTACTTCGTTATTATAATTTTTCGAGGGAGCCTATTCCTTTTAATCCTGGTGGTTTCCTTTGGGCTTCCTCGCCATTAGCTTTTTAATATTTAGAACTTCTTCTGCTTTGCATATCTTATGGCAAAGCCATAAACTTGACTCTTAAACTTGACACCTATGTCATAAGGTTTAAGCTGCGATGGCGGATTAAGCATTGACGCAAATCTAGAGCTTAACCTGGGAGGCGACACTGGTGGAATTGCTTTGGGTCAGATTCAGTTTCCTAATCGACAAGCAAGGCAGATACTGTTTGGAACTTCTCAGGCTCGACCGAACCTTGATGGTGTTGTGTTGGCACAACCTGGCGTCCAACTTCTAGGCACATCTCAGGCTCGACCAAACCTTGGTGGTGTTGTATTGGCACAACCTGGCGTCCAACTTCAAGGCACATCTCAGGCTCGACCGAACCTTGATGGTGTTGTATTGGCACAGCCTGGCGTCCCACTTCAAGGAAATTCTCAGGCTCTACCGAACTTTGGTGGTGTTGTGTTGGCACAGTCTGGCGTCCCACTTCATACAGCACCACCTACTGGTCAACAATCAGTCCAAGCTTCTACTACGTCATATACCAATGTAAGACTATGTCTTAACACCATTGTAACGTTTTTTAATGCGCCAACAGGCAAAAAAATAAAGATTATCACAAGCTGGAGAAATAAGGTACTCTTTCCCAATGTTCATCGAAATGTCGATGCACTGATGACACACGCTTCTTGTATTATTTGGCCTTAATGTTTTTACTTGCGGCCGGAGTAAACATCGGCTAACCGCCGTAAAAAGTAAAAGGCTTGAGCAGTAGTTACATCTCACCTACCATGAAGTTAAGAAATAGGGAGGGATATTCTTTTTAAAAAAAAGGTACCTAGTTGTGCCAATCTTTTCATTTTTCACGGAATCTACTCGGAGTAAAAACTTTATTTTCATTAAAAGCACACGAATTTAACTGATTTTGATAAATATCCCTCTGACTCAAGTGGTATTTTTCGCGTCTTTGCGTTAAACTTCCTAACAGATATTTTTTCTTAAATCAAAAGCTCATTGATTATGTTCAAACCTTAATGGATCTTAATGATAGATTGCACAGTGATAAAACAATGTTTAACTTTTGTACTTTGCTTTGTGGCAATTATGATAGCACGGTTACCAAGTTCAACCGCCTCCGTACCATGCCCCACCTGTCACCCTTCAGCAACCTCCTTACAGTGGTGCAGCAACTATAATTACTACACCAAATGGGCCACCTGTGCCACAAGTGACTCACATGCATAATGGTTTACCTTTGCAAACAGCTCAGCTTGCACAAATGCAGCAGGTATTTTACAGTTTTATATAATCGTTGACGGGGCGCGGTTATGTGTGATGTGTTTCGAAGTTCGAATTCGCATGGAGGTTCAGAGTTTTTTCCTTTGTATCTTGCAAGTAAAATCTCCTCCCCAGAATCTGAGATCACTTTTTTCCAACAGAAATTAAAAGGTGCTGGCTTCACTACAAGAGTTGAAGCTTTGTTGGCTATATTGTCACTGGTGTCATAATAAACGGGTTAACGAATAAGAATTAAGCTGTTTTAACAGCAGATAACTTGCTTGTATTAATCTAATCACATACACTACTAATATTTACTTCTGTATATCTAAATTTAGAGACCTGTTGTAGTGGCTCCGGCTCCTCCTTCAAACTGGATGGCACTTTCTATTTTTTCTGTCATATTTTGTACGCTACCACTTGGAATAGTAGCCTTTGTGTTTTCTTATCTGGTAAGATAATTTCGGCCATCGTTAGTTTGCATTTGCCTACCGGTCTGTTTACTTATGAGCTACAGCTTATCTTAATCCTAACCCTCGTAAGTTTGGGAATACAGGAGGTGTGAGAGTGAATCTGTTGTAATTTTCTCATTTCGTAGGCAAATAGTATTTTCAAAAAACTGTAGTGGTGTTCACCAGAAAGTAAAGCTCAGCAGTAGAAATCGCAAATAGTCAATAAGGACATTGCGTCAAAATCAGAAGAAAAACTTAACCCTGATACCTTACTGGCTATTGCCTCATTAACAGATATTATATTTCCTCATGGTAGACTTGTTTCTACTAATTCTGGGAGAAGAATTACCTCTTAAACAAGGATCAAGTAGTGGATACGGGCTCTCTTACTGATCTTGTGCTCCCCTGGCCACGTTAGATCCTCTGTGTATCCCAGAGGACGCGTACACGTATTTCCAATACAGTCATCATTTCCAACAATTTAGAAAATTTATATACAATTTTAAATTATTCTTTACCCTAAACTGACACTCCTTTTATCTTAAGTTGCGGTAAAAAAAATAATAAATTCATTCAGCAAGCTGTACACATGAATTTAATCCGCTAACAATTGTATGTAAAAAGTTCAAGACTGATTAAACTTTAGCGTCCAAAAAGTTTATTATCAAATGTGTCCATTTTTTACTCACATAATCTTTTTTCACGTTTGGTTTCAGGTCAGCGAGTCACTCAAAAGAGGAGATCACCAAGGAGCAGTCAGAAACTCAAACATTGCTAAGTGGCTAAATGTGCTTGCCATAATAAGCGGTTTACCTTTGTGCATATTTATTTTTTATGCAATATTTTATCTTATGTAGAAGCTAAATTGGGGCTCAGTAATAAAGGAATACGGAGCATTGAGACATCACATGGCAAAACATAGACTGGAAATTCAATCCCCCTGCTGCAGGTCTGGGAAAGACAAATGCGGACGGGCACGTCGAATTCTTGATACTCTATTACGTGAACACTGAAGTCGTATAGATTATAAATCCTTACAGACCCTTATGTGTGAAGTTGAATCTATCATCAACTCAAGACCTCTGACTGTTATCTCCAGCGATGTTAAGGACCCTTACCCTCTATCACCAAACCAGATCCTGACAATGAAGACATGCTTTGTCCTGCCAACGCCTGGCAAGTTCCAACGCAGTGACGTCTACAATCGCCGACGTTGGCGTCGTGTTCAGTACCTCTGCAACCTGTTTTGGTCGCGATGGAAACGGGATTACGTACCAACGCTTCAGGAGAGGGCCAAGTAGAACAAAGTAAAGGGCAACCTGAAGGTCGACGACGTCGTTCTAGTTAGAGATGAAAACGCACCTCGCAATGTTTGGCCTATGAGCGTGGTAACCAGAGTAGAGCCAGATTCTAAAGGTCTCGTCAGAAGTGTCGTCCTTAGAAAGCACACAACGGAGCTGCATATACCGGTTAACAAGGTAATCCTTTTGCTGACCGCAGAGGAACGGATGGATGCTACTCAAGACACGGAAGAAGTTGCTTACAATTTTACACAGACAGTAAACAAATGAACATTATTTGAACATTTAATGCATGATAAAGTTTAAGCTACAAACTGAATTTATGTTTTAGTTAAACTGTCTGCTTAGTTTTCTGTATATATCCTGATTTTCATAGTGTTAAACAACTTGTAGTGTTTAAGAGACCGGGAATGTTACTGCCAAATATTTTCTGGTTTTTAGTATTTCCTTTCGAACCATTTGTAGTTTCTTTTGCGTTATTATCTTATAGTATTTGTGGTTTTTGCCATGGATATACTTGCCTACGTATGATTTACAAACAAAGAAATCTATCATCCTTTGTATTAGTTAGCATTGTCAAACGTGCTCAGAAAACTTTTTCAGTTCTAGTCAAAGTGTCATCGTGTTAAGATCAAAGTAAGGCTCAACGTCAACGCTGTGAAATCCCTAACGCGGACACAGAAGTAAGTTTTTTTCACTTTGTGCATGTTACGTTTTATAAAGCCTTTTTTTTGCATCGTATTCATGAAATTCAAAGTTTGTTTTTGTAGTTTTAAAAGGTATTTTCTGGTTAATCTAACTATACCTTTCGCTGTATTTATTTCTTACTTTTCGAAACCGCTTTGTAAACCGCTTTCTTCGTCTACACCGCCTATTCACCGCTTTGCCACGCATCGCTTCTTTTTAACATCTTTAACGTCTCATCGCTTCGCTTCAATAAAGTTCATTATTGCAGCGAAAGTTCGATTCTTCGAAGCTCGTCAAGAATTTTCTGTCCTAACGTGGGATTAAACCACCGTGTTGTGAATAACGTTCAGCGCTCACAGCCAATATTCCTTGCGGCACAAGTTGCGGACTGGCCGTCCTTGTGCATAAGCGCCATCTAGTCTCAAGAAGGCATTGTGAAATCAAATGGAAAGACCAATCGATCGCCACAAAGGCAACATTGAATATGGCCAAGCTACAAAACGGCTGGTGTATCGGGATGAGCCGCACAGATCAGTGCTTCTGTAGCTCTTGATCTCTCTAGTTTTCCAGTTATTCTGTTTTTAAACAAGTTAAAATTTATTACTACTCGCCTTTTTTTGTTTACGGCGCCACTGGGACATGACTGCAAAAGCGGCTTAAAAGGACGAATGGACTAAGGAAGTAATTCGACTAAAAATTCAGTGGTTAAAGTACTCAGTCAATATAACTAACGTTACTGCGTTCAAGCATGTTGGATCCATATCTGCGTGAATTTTAAGAGCCAAGTTTATCGAACGTACTGTTGATAACAACCCCTAAAGATTTTTGTTTTTGTTTTTTTTTTCCTTGTTTTTTTTTTTCAAAATTATTGATCTTCAAAAGCGGTCCCTTTTTTCGTCTTGGCACATGTTTGTCGACTGATGGTTAGCGTCAAGTCATTTGTAGTAGAAACCACAGAGTTTTTCGAATTTTTGTTGAAAAAAATGTTTAAAGCTTTTTTAAAAAATAGAAAAATGGTTTATGTTTGCAGAAAAGATAATAATGCTTGTCATGTGACCTACCGTGAATCTTCTCCAGTATTAAGCCCCCTAGGACGCTTATTTATTTCAAGCATGTTTACGGGGGTGGGGTGGGGGCTTAATAGACGGAGGGACTTATTTAATTAAGCGAAGATGGCGGTATCAATTCTCCATAAAAAAATCTACAAGGCATGAATTTGGAGGTCACGCAGCAGAAGATCAAAAACATAGTTAATTTCTTCCCATAAAAAAGGGGGGCCTTCATAAGCCTGGGAAGAAAGTGGATGAAATGGTAGAACGCAGTTTCCGTCAATGAGGCAGAGGGGGCAACTCAAAGCTGAGACACAGGCATGGCAATCTAAAGGCGCTATGCGGAAACATTAAAGAGAATGAGGCATAAAACAAGCACTTGCACTATATGTACAAGTTCAATACTTTTTTATTGTTGATATTGTCCCTGTGTAAATCTATGTGTCAGTAGTTTATTTGCAAATAACAGCTTACAGAATATTAATCACCTTTGAAGGGTGCCAGTGATACAGGCAAGGTAAATCATGGAGGATTTGCAACTCGACTTCTCAGGTAACAAGAGCTAACAGGTTTTTTTGTATATTTGTATGGAAATAGTGCAGCGAATTGACTGATCAGCCTCTGAAGAAATTGCCTCGTGCAAGGTAATGCAGATTCCGGAATCCGGGAAATTTTTGCTTGTGGAATCCGGATCCGGAATCCCGCAAACAATTGTAATCCAGAATCCAAGTTCCACTGACAAAGAATTCGGAATCCAGTAGCTCCGGAATCCACAACGTGGAATTCAGAATATAATCCAAGACTGTCTTGGATCGCCTTACATGGGGGCAAAAGAAATGTTTCTAATTCGTAAACGGAATAGGGATCTTTTCCTTATTATCTTCGCTTGACATTTTTTCGCCGAACTAATTCTCTAATAATATGTTTTAATATTTACTGTAGATCTTTCATTGATTTTACGGCATGAATACCTCTCAGTTTACTTCGTTATAATAATTATTTGAGGGAGCCTATTCCTTTTAAGCATGGTGGTTTCCTTTGGGCCTCCTCGCCATTAGCTTGTAAAATATTAAGAACTTCTTCTGCCTCGCACGTCTTATCGCAAAACAATAAACTTAACTCTTGAACTTGAAACCTATGTCATAAGGTTTAAGCTGCGATGGCGGATTAAGCATTGACGCAAATCTAGAGCTTAACCTGGGAGGCGACACTGGTGGAATTGATTTGGGTCAGATTCAGTTTCCTAATCGACAAGCAAGGCAGATACTGTCTGGAACTTCTCAGGCTCGACCGAACCTTGGTGGTGTTGTGTTGGGACAACCTGGCGTCCAACTTCAAGGCACATCTCAAGCTCGACCGAACCTTGGTGGTGTTGTATTGGCACAGCCTGGCGTCCCACTTCAAGGGCATTCTCAGGCTCGACCGAACTTTGGTGGTGTTGTGTTGGCACAGTCTGGCGTCCCACTTCATACAGCACCACCTACTGGTCAACAATCAGTCCAAGTTTCTTCTATGTCATATACCAATGTAAGACTATGTCTTAACACCATTGTAACGTTTTTTAATGCGCCAACAGGCAAAAAGAAATAAAAATTATCACAAGCTGGAGAAATAAGGTACTCTTTCCCAATGTTCATCGAAATGTCGATGCACTGATGACATACGCTTCTTATATTATTTGGCCTTAATGTTTTTACTTGGGGCCAGAGTAAACATCGGCGCAACCGCTGTAAAAAGTAGAAGGCGTGACCAGTAGTTACATCTCACCTACCATGAAGTTAAAAAATAGGGAGGGATATTCTTTAAAAAAAGGTACTTAGTTGTGCCAATTTTTTTCATTTTTCTCGGAATCTACTCAGAGTAAAAAGTTTCTTTTCATCAAAAGCACACGAATAAACTGATCTCGCGTGGTATTCTGTTTTCTCTGCTTTTGCGTTAAACTTCCTAACAGATATTTTTTCTTAAATCAAAAGCTCATTGATTATGTTCAAACCTTAATGGATCTTAATGATAGATTGCACAGTGATAAAACAGTGTTTAATTTTTGTGCTTTGCTTTGTGGCGATTATGATAGCACGGTTACCAAGATCAACCGCCGCCGTACCATGCCCCACCTGTCACCGTTCAGCAGCCTCCTTACAGTGGTGCAGCAACTATAATTACTACACCAAATGGGCCACCTGTGCCACAAGTGACACACATGCATAATGGTTTACCTGTACAGACAGCTCAGCTTGCACAAATGCAGCAGGTATTTTACAGTTTTATATAATCATTGACGTGGCGCGGTTATGTGATGTGTTTCGAAGTTCGAATTCGGTTTCTTTGTATCTCGCAAGTAGAATCTCCTCCCCAGAATCTGAGAACACTTTTCTCCAACAGAAATTAAAAGGTGCTGGCTTCACTACAAGAGTTGAAACTTGGTTGACGATTTGTCACTGGTGTCGTAATAAACGGCTTAACGAATAAGAATGTAAAGCTGTTTTAACAGCAGATAACTTGCTTGTATAAATCTAATCACGTACACTACTAATATTTACTTCTGTATATCTAAATTTAGAGACCTGTTGTAGTGGCTCCGACTCCTTCAATTTGGATGGCACTATCTATTTTTTCTGTCATATTTTGTATGCCACTTGGAATAATAGCCTTTGTGTTTTCTTATCTGGTAAGATAATTTCGGCCATTGTTACTTTGCATTTGCCTACCGGTCTGTTTAGTTATGACCTACGACTAATCCTAACCCTAACCCTCGTAAGTTTTATTTTTTTCATGTCGTAGGCAAATAGTATTTTTAGGAAATTGTAGTGGTGTTCACCAGAAAGTAAAGCTCAGCAGCAGAAATCGCAAAAAGGAGCAAGAAGTTGGTACAGGCTCTCTTACTGATCTTGTGCTCCCCTGGCCATGTTAGATCCTCTGCGTATCCCAGAGGACGCGTACACGTATTTCCAATGTAGTCATCATTTCCAGCAAATTAGAAAACTAATGTACAATTTTTAAATTATTCTTTACCCTGAACTGACACTCCTTTCATATTAAGTTACGCTAAAAAAGTAATAAATTCATTATAGCAACCTATACACGATGAATTGAATCCGCTAACAATTGTGTGTAAACTGATTAAACTTTACTATCAAATGTGTCTAGTTTTTCTCACATAATCTTTGTTTCACGTTCGGTTTTAGGTCAACGAGTCACTCAAAAGAGGAGATCACCAAGAAGCAGTCAGAAACTCAAACGCTGCTATGTGGCTAAATGTGCTTGCCATAATAACCGGTTTACCTTTGTGGATATTTATTTTTTATGCAGTATATTAGCTTATATGGAAGCTAAATTGGGGCTCAGTTTTAAAGGAATACAGAACATTGAGACATGACATGGTCATTTATAGACCACAAGTTAATTAGTTCTTTTTGTGACTGTTAAGTCTTCCCCTCTCTAAAGAACAACTCCACCCAACTTCATAGACCACGTTATTATTTTTTCTTTTTTCTTTAATTTTCTATGTCCATTAGCCTTAGTCTTGATGCAGGAAGCTAGAGAAATAAGGGGAAGCTCTGTAACAATACTTTTAGCCCCTTTTTGATTGCGAAATATTAAAATATTTCGCAATCAAAAAGGGGCTAAAGCAATGAATAAAGGGGCGGGAACCAGGAATGCACGGTATGGGAGGCGGGCGGCGCTACTTGGACATAAATGTTTTTGCTTTTGTAGCTTTTCTGCTGCTTTTGTCCTCGTTCTTTCGGAAATTGGCGCTCAGATTGGATATCAAAAGGACTATAGACTTCTTGGTCTTCAATTAGCAACAAAGAGATACATACACTCGTTGGCTGTCCTAAAGTGAGCTCTAAATTCCGCTAACTACTCCGACAAGAACCCTCATTTTTGCTGCTTAAAACGGCCTGATTAAGAATTTGCAATAGCATTGTCCTTGCGGTCTAAAGTGGCCAGAATTCTTGGGAAAAATATCCAGATTTATCCTTGAGACACGTCACAAATCGATAAAATGCTTTTGTCCGCGATGACACCCATGCCTTTTGAACGACTTGTGACCTCAAAGCCATTACGAGCATCTTAACCCATAACTTAACAAGGGATGTCTAGTAGGAGAACCGATTAAGAAACATAAATGCAATACAGTCTGAAGTCGTTATTATAATGATGTTATTTTATTTAACAAAGTTTATGCAAAACCCTATACAACAATTCTACAAAAAGACAATAGCGAGAAAGTGTCCTCGTGGACGTCGTTTTGGTTTTCAGTAAACTAGGAACGCACAAATCTGCACTTTAGCTGGCTATACTGCAAATACAAGAACTGAGTTGCAAACAGTATTACACAGGAAGACAGCTAGGGTTCAAGAGAACAGACTGGGCGAAAGCTGGGCGAACATCAGAAGCAAATAACAATCTGGGAACGCCAAGGCCAATCCTGAAATCGATTAGGAGGGGTTCAAAATCCTTAACCAGGACATAGGCCATCCATGTCCGACGCTATCTCTAGTTAGAAGAGGGGGTTATCATTACACCCGCAATTTTAATCCCTTTTTGCCACCTAAAAATACACATAAAGAGCTCAGTTGTTGCTTATGAAGACTGTCAGATACAGTCAAAAGCTGCAGTGCTATAATGATTATGGGCCTTAAGACTAGACTAGGAATTATACAAGTGCAAACAGTATTTTAAGGAAAAGTCAGGGTTAAGGTGCTTAGGTCTAAAGAATTACATGGCAGTGGAAAAACATAGCAAACTTTTCTTCGTCTTCCCCGAGTTTACATGAAAAATTTACTTAAGAATTACAAGTGCAGTTTGGTGCGTTTTGACCTGAAACCCAAATAATCGTTATAAACAGTCGTCTCACTTGACACCTGCGCCCTTTAACTGTGGAATGCAGATTAAAATAGTTAGTATGGCACACAATCCAAACGAAATTGACGTCAGAGCCATGTTTTCGGCCTCGTGAAAGTTTTCTGCTTCCCTCTTCTTGCGTCCCATTGACCCAGCCCTTCGTGCCTACAAGAAAAAAAAAAGAGATTTAGTTTTGCATCCGTTATACCTGTGCCCAGAAAAAGAAGAAGGATGGATGGATGGATGGATGAACAGGCTGAGGGTATGAGCGAGTTGAGTGGCTGGGTTAATTTTTGAGTGAGTAAGTAATTGATTAAGCGAGACAAATAAGAATACATTTTTTAGAAAATGTTCAAAACAGCGCTTCCAATAACAATGTAATTGAGTGCTTACCAGAATCCAAAACACCAAAGAAATTATTCCAATGGGGAAAAGCGTCAGCAGAGAGCTAATAACAAGAGCTGTTCGTGTGCCATCACTGAACAACAATCGCCTGCAAGCCTCCTGTTGGGAATACAAAATGCTTTGACTAAGTTTATTACACTTTTAGATTCGAGGACTGATCAGAGGGATTAATAAAGGAAACACTACCTTATCGCTTCCTTGATTGGACGAGGAAGCTGTTTATCTTTGATTTGCTTTTATACCTGAATCAGTGGTAAACTATATAAGAGTCCTTCATAGCTGCATTAGTTTACAATTCTGATGTCTTTTCCAAAAACAGGTGATTCAGTCGACCGAAATGTATCCAAGAGGAAGTTGTCTGAGCGGTGATAAGGACCGGGAGGTAAATCGCTCGACGCTAGATTGAAAATGCCGCACTGTTGACGCTCTTGTTTTGAGCGGTCCTCAAAATTGTGCGAGTGTTTGGACGAGAACCAATCTTCCCCAAAATTAATATAACCTAGTTTCAACTGCTTAAAGAAATAGTGATCCGATCGGAATTTGTGTTATTGTACTGCTCTTTGTGTCAGATTAGTCGCGTGGTCGGACAGCTTGCTTTTAGAACAACAAAGATCTTCTGAAACCATGCCTGGGGACTGAGATGCGCTCTGGTTGGTGTTAAAGAAGTTACCCACCATCCCAGGCGAAGGTTTCATTTGTTAAAAGTGAAAAATTAAATTGAAAGTTAGATGCACACCTGATAAGCTGGATCTTCTTCAAACTTCATTTGCTCCATGTTGCACGATCAGATTACAAGATTCCTAAGATATAAACAAGTGGGAAAGTAAGTTTTTCGTTTCAGCAACTGTTGACCAAAAATTGACAAATTATTAATAAGATATTTTTAAAATATTTTCAATGGATTCTTGAAAAAGTACAAAATTATGCTGATCGGAACTATGTGGGTGCTTGTCATTGGGAAATCTGGATTTAGATTTTGAAATTCAAACTTGAACTCGAAAAACGGATTTCAGTGACGAGAAATCCATCCTCAAGTTCAATTTCAATTAAGGTCAGTGTAAGTTTTGCACTGCGCATCTCATTCTGCACATATGACAGCGGCGTGCAGGGGTTTCAATAAGTTTTTGCACAAGCGCGTACTTAAGAGTAACAGGCGGGTACATTTGAAAATGAGAGCTTCTAAAGAAACATCATTTTTAAATGGCAAATTAAGGTTTTAACTGTGACGAGTCGAACAACCGGCATACATATTAAGTCTACTTTGAAGCGTCAACTAGAAACACAGGCATCAAAAGACTGATACGCTAAGCTTCTGGCAAACGGACGCAGCAAGTTCCAACGTTGTTGGGCCAACAATACAAAGATTGTTGCGTCCATAATTCAGTGGTGTGAAAATGGATGCAACAAAACCAACAATGTTGGGACCTGCAGTGCTTAGTGCGAAGGATACAACCCCATGAGACTTAGTAAACTTGAATTCTACAGCCATCTTTGGCGCGTGCGAGGCCCCAACAAAGTTGGAAGAGCTGTGTAAACGGATCCAACATTGTTGCGTTACGGTTTGGAGATACGGAACAAAAGAAATGTTGGGAGTTGATGGCTCAAACGTTTGACCGGTTTCAAACTTTGCACAACCACTCTTAATAACACTCAGCAACATGCAACAGAGTGTGCAAACGGACGCAACTGTAACATCCAACAATGTTGGGAGTTGTTAGCCACCAATGTTGCGTCCTTTTGCAAGTTAAGGGGCCCTTAAGCGGATAAGTCAAGCGCGTGCCTTATCACGCACAGGCATCATCATGGCGCCTTTTTGTCTACAAGTTTTGGGCTGCGTGCAGTTATTACCAAAGGTGTCTAAATAGCTGTATTTAGCAGCACTGTACCGTGAAAACGAGCAGGGTGACCCTCTCTTTTATAGACTGCTGGTAGTTCGCCTTTTCTCTTAAAATCCGTTTAGTTCTTATCTCAGCCAGCGCGATTGGAAACCACGACGGTATGTTACATAAGGGTTTAGGACGAGACGAGAAAAGACGGACTGTGGAGTCTAGTAAACAAGCCCTCCGTCAGCCCAGAGACGGAGTAACCGATTGGTCAAATTTACAGCTGTTGACAGATCATTGACTGGTCTCTGTGGAGTTGCAAGCGGTAAAAAATAGTCACGCGTCACAACCAACTGCGAACAATAACGAATCAAGCGATAATCGCTTGTAAACTAAAACGTTTAAGGATATTTCTGTAAATTTCCACAAGGAAAGAAATTCAAAGCAATCTTACCGGATTTGAAGAAAGTTTAATTTTTCAGTTGTTTATGTTCTATTTATAAACTTGTTTCAAGTTACTCGGGTTTAATTACCTTGACAGCTTTGTTGTCCCCAGACAGAACAAAAGAGTCAGCAGTCTCTTATTTTTTTCCTTCTCGGGCTTGCGCACTCGTTTATCGCGGTTCACGTGCTTGGCTTTTGTAAATTTGCAAAGAAAAATAAGAGACTGCGAGTCTACCTCTTTTAACGTTCTCTTGACTTCTTACAACAGTGCACCAAATTGCACCGAAAATCTACGTCAGGTTCGTTTTCTAGAGAATCACCTTCAGCAATCCAAGTCCGGAGGTTCATTGATTTTTCTTTCATCTCTTTTCCCGCGGAAATTGGCAAAACTATTCTCCACATAAACAGCGGTCTTAAGATACGCGCATTATAATAAGAAGAAAAAGACCACTGTTCACAAGAACATTTTTGCAATTCCTTTTTCGTATTTCCTAAAAATAACATTAAAGACCGAGTAATTCAGTGAAATCCGGAGTTGGACTTCTTGACTGAAATCCACCTTGAGAACAGATTTCTTGGCTTTGAAGTCCATTTTGGATAAGATGTTTTATTGCATTTCCGATATCCGAATTTTAAAATCAAAAACAAAATTTCCCATCAGAAGCACTCAATGTCGCAAAGGGTTAGACTGCTCACAGTGCTTTATTTTTCCGTAAGATGGTCGAGAAGGAGCGCTTCAGGTGGCCATCTTGACCGACTATCTTATCTACAAAGGGGGCGGAGGACGGTTTGGCTATAATGAATATAATATACTGCAAATGAATCTAAACTTAAAAACAAATGAATCCACCCTCTTTTTTTCATGCAAATTCTCGAACAAAAAGTGTATTATTTTGCCGGCAGACATGGCCGCCTTTTCACGTGGTTGCAAAGCAAGAATTAACTTATGTAAGATTTCGTGTCAAAAACCAAAAAAAACAACAGACTGGTGGATACGGTTGAATGGACAAGTAATCGTCAAAGTGCCATATTGCGAAATAAACGTTAGTCTAGGTTTGGATGAGTTTATCCTCACAACTATTATCTTATTTCAAGCGGAAGTTTTGAAAGGTTTCACCGTTATTATATTATTATTAAGTCCCGATAAAAACGTTGACTTACAAATACGTGGTACCCTATTAAAACATATATTTCGTCCTATAAAATATTATCATATTGCCCGCTGGCATAAACGTTACAGTGAATTAGCACAGAGATGAGGTTCAGTTAGATATAACGAAATGGATTAGGAAATGTGATCAAGGTATCGAGGAGGAAATTCGAGAGAAACTGGTCTTAAAATAGATACATCCTAGGATCCCTTTACAGTGTAGTACAAAGTTCTCTTCTGGGTTTATATTTATTAAAGGCTAAACTTTAGTCAAATGTCCAAGTCCTTTTGATATTAGTCATTCAATAATTAGAAACCTTTGAAATCAGGAGAATCAAATTGACTTCCGATTGACTACATTTCTATATCAAAAGCTTGATCGAGTCTAACTTCCATGCCATCATTTGCAATACGGAAAGGATATCTTAGGGTTTTGGATATAATTATTCACGCATGGCATCCTAGCCATCCGCACTAGTGATAAACAAATAGCTTTTGAAATGGGTTTTAGATGCCGTTGAGTTTTTGCTTGTACCGAAATGGAAAGCAGCAATAACCTATTAAGATCAGGAAAGAATCTAAACCGTGCTTTAACGCTGTTATAGCTCTAAAGGCAAAAGTTAAAAAAGGATTTCGGGTATTCTTCGCTTGAGACGCTTTACATAACTGCAAGCAAATTGAAGGCGGGCAATTCACGATTTACCTTAACAAAGTGTGTCTGTAGTTCCTCCTGGACTTGACTTCACTGCACGTTGTCACAATTTCCTTGTTAAGTAAGAAATTCTTGCTGTAAAGCTTCGGAGAAGTTGCGAAAAGCTGTTTTGAGCAAAACCCGCGCGCAGCTCGACTTCACCACAAGCGTGACCTTGCATCAAGCATGAATGGTATGTGCTAAAGTACCGATGGTTTGCATAACAAAGACGGAAGTGATTGTACTATGACTAATAATAGAAGCATTGTTTGGCATTTCACCGACCGAAAGAGTGGAAAGTGGAAGAAAAATGTGCTTTGAAAGAATGAGTGCGTGAGTAATGGCGCGAATTAAAACTTACATTTTGTGAACTGTCGAACGGAAGGAGTTTATTCAAATCTCCAATCTTAAAACTTTGTTAAATAAGACAACAACAAGCCCTAATCAATATTGAACGGAACTCTTGTACAAAAAGTTCGTTCAAGTTTCGCTGGGTTTCCACTGCCTTAGCTATATCGGTGTCTGTTAAATTGGCAAAGTGTTGCGTTTCTCTGAAAACAGAGTGAAAATTAAATCTTAAAACAGAAAAATGTACTTTATACTATTGGATGCATAAAATGCTAGCATGCTCAAGACCCTGGTTACATTTAAGGGAAGAAAGAACTGGCAAAACGAATCGACTGAAACATGCACTCCGTAAACATTGAGCTGCGCATAATTACTAACACTGATGCGAAATAAATCCGCATGATCGAAATGTGTCTTTTCCAATGTTGTAAATCTTTCAGTCATGTCGACCCTCCCCTCCCTCACTATTGAATCCTTTTTTTTTGTTTGATATTGGATCAGGGATTTTTATAAGAAGTTCAGTGGATCCGGTTTGGTGGCCTTATTTTCAAAACAACTATTCAAGTAATGTGTATTATGTATTGTCCGCTTGTATTTGATGTGTGCCTCTTGGGTGCGTAGCAGGCGTAGTAACATCTGTGATCAATAAATGTCCACAAGAGACGACGCCACTCTAGCAAGTTAAAGGTAAAAACTATTTTTCTTTCACGTTAGTCATTCACTTAAGTATGGCATAAACCCAGGTTATCACTTGCTTGGAGTCTCTAAACAAGAGTAGTTTTGCCGTAATATTTAGACAAAATACGTTTCGCATCACCGACAACAAGGTTACGCACGCACGCAACTCAAATACACTTTTTCGCGGAACAAAATGTCGAATTTATTCTTGCGATGACTTCCCATAGACGCTGAGCTGAATTTAATATAGCCAGTAGTACGAGATAACTAGATAACGGCACTCCATGGTTGCCAAGCGCTCGATAACGATTTTGCCATACAAGCTGTTGATCCATTCATTTTCTCTCGAGATAGATTATTACAGTTTTATTTCGCTTCTTTCTGAGGACCAGCACAATAAGGCAAAACAAAAACTGAGCGTGAGTGTTATCTTTGAAGAGGAAGTTATGACTCATGCAGCATCCCTGACTCACTAACAAACGAAATGCCTCACGGTGGTGGGTGGCTCACTCGATTCGCTCACGGTCACAACTGTGTTTGTGGCACTTTGCTACATGCATGTATTACAAACATTTGCTGACAACATTGTTTCGTTCACGTTTCCAATTTAAAATATTTACTGGTTGCTCTGTTTTCTTAAATTGATTCTATACACATACATGCTAGACAGTGAACTCAGAAGTAATCTGGCATTTGTCTCTTCGCTCACCTCAACTATTACCTATTCCTGATACGTCATCTGTGACAGCGTTTAGTTAGATCAATTTCTCATTGTCAGCACTGGCATTTCAAATGTGCATCTTCATTTTGATTTGCCTTTTTTAAAAAAAATGCTGTTGAGTTTATTGCTTCATATAGTAATTTATGCTAGCCATAATTAGCTGCGTGACATAAGTGTCAGTCAGTTTAAGGTTTTGTGCACGGGGGGGGCTCTGCATATGAAAGGGGTGGGGATACTCGTCGGAAATTTTGAATTAAACCCCTGAAAGAGACCGATCTGGGCGTGGCCCAAGCTTTTTTGACCCCTAAAAGAGACCATGTTAAAACACGGACAATATTATATTTTTATATTTTTTCACGTACAACCTTAAACAAGACCTTTCCGGCCCCTAAGCGAGACGACGAGCATCCCCACCCCTTTCATATGCGGAGTCCACCCACCTGGCTAAAACCATTCGGGATAAGGCTTCTGTTCACACATAAGACGGTGTTTTCGGCGCGATTTCCAAAACAGAACGAAGCTGCGCCGATCTTAAAAGTAGGTCGTCACATATCGGATAGGTTTCTGCCACTCTTTGTCGCAATGAACAGGTATTCGGACCGTTGCGGAAGTAATAAGTAGGAGTGAGGACTCGAACCCGACTGAAACCGAAGTCAATGAATGAATCAGAATTTAGCGCACCAAACTCTATCGGCCAACCACTCCGGTGTCGTTAAAACGACTTATTCCAGTTCTGTGCCGTTGCAGTTCGTACTCTACTGGCAGAAAAAAGAATAAGCCGACGAGAAAACGACCTTATTTCCGATGAAATCTGCCATGACTGCGATATTGCTTGATGCTCTTGGAAAAATGCATCATGGGATACTATTCGATCATCTTCTATTCTTTATCTACCGGATAGCATTGCATGTCCGCAAGAAAAGCAGAGAACAGTCTCCTATTTTTATTTTTGAGTTACCTAGTCGATCCGAGAGCCGAGTGTGGAGGTAATGGCCTTAGTTCTGTGCCAGGGGCTGATTGTTTACAAGGCCTTTGCTGTCCTATGAAATGCGACTGAACAGTACATATACGGCCTTTTAAAACCATTGGAAATGTGATATACATTCTGTATATCACTGGTTTGAAGAAAAGGAATCCGTCTCTCTCAAATTGACTTGAACTCGCCTGAAACACACTCGTTTTATGTCAGGTTAGACCGTGAGAAACGTTTCTTGCTCGGCCTAAGAGAGTTCATAAGTTCTTTGGTTGTATTTTTATAAAGCTGTAATGATAGGTTGAACCAGAAAATGGCGAGGAAATAAACGCCTTGCCCTCATCTCAGCGGCATGGTCGCACTTGGGCAATTCCTCAGGTCCCCAATCTCAGTCTTAAAGATTCTTGCAGAGAGAATCCATTGGGTAAGTCGATTCAGGGATAGGATCAGTGAATATTTGGCCTTTTTTCTGGATATTTGCAGCGCCAGAAACATATATGTATTGGGTATGAGGTCCTTTTTAAAATAGGTCCTGGAAGAATCGCTATATTCTTGGTCATTTTCCATAGGTTAAGATGAGTGACAACATCTGATTTTTTCTCTCTAGTCTTACTGCTTCGTAGTCATTGCAAATTTGGGACTACTGAAATTTCCTTGTCTCAATGGACGAAGTCGAATCAGGCAAATATGAAGGAGGCGTGCAGGTACATATTATTTAATATGCAGTATTTCTATGCAGTGAATGATACATTGAGTTAAATGAAATGCAGATCCAATCTGTGGCGCTCGTAAAGCCCCGGATTTTATGAAGGAAGGCTTCGCACCGAGATCCAACCCCTTACCCTTTCATATACCATTTTTGGCAGAAAAGGTACCCATTTCGTATACCTTTTATTCATGATACCCATATTAGTTTAAAACGTTGCATCACTTTTAACTGCTGTAAATGCACCGTCTCTTAAGTATGAATAAATCACTAAACCAGAAAGTTTTCTTATTTTTTTTCACAGCATTAAAATGAACCTGTTAGCCCATTTAAGCCCTTTCACAGACGACAATGACACGGATTTCCCTTCCCTTCAATATACTTGAAAGCACCCGAAAGCTTTGCTCCTTTGGCCACTACTATGCACTTTTCCAATGTAATATTTATTGTAACATGTATTAGTAGCTCTGATTTGCTTCTTTTTCATTTCCTATCATTATTGTAATTATGTACGTTTTTTAGTAAGTGTGAATAAACTTACCTAGTGAAATCCCTACCCTTTAATATACCGGAAGCCTGAAAAAGGTATCCCTCTCGGGCGATCAGCCTGCCCGTTACGTGTTGGCCATTACCCCAGGTCTTAAAGTTAACACTGAGCCAAAAGCTTCTATTCCATCAACTCTTACCATGATTTCCGTGTTCAAAAACACCATAAGTAGTCGTCACATTTGTTGAGACAAATGTCCCGTTACGCCCTCCCCAATGTTGATTGACATGCCCATTTGCAAAAACGAGACTCTCCACATTGGGGAAGGAGAGAAGAACTACACACAGGAAAAGTCAGATACGTTAGTTGAGATGGTGTGGCATGAAAAATCCTCAGTTTTCTTTATGCTGACTCTTACAACAATTGTAGAAAAAAGAAGCACTCAACTTTATTTCATTAACTCTTGACAACCCTGTTTAAAATTTTTGAATTGTTCGAATAATTAGACTGATCAAGACCGCTGGTCGTGAATTATTTGACATGGATCCCCCCCACGATAATGACGTTTACGTGACAAACAAGAGGAGACTTGCAAAGACAAGAATGATCTGCGAATAAAAAAAAGGAGTCTCAAAACTGCATGACTGATTCAAAATCTACTATTCTCGGTCATAAAGCATTTGAGGTTCGTCCCATGTGAAGTTCAACGTTTGACGCTGGCCTTACTCTTGAAGCTTTAAAAGATGCATCGCGTATAAACGAACCAGTTATTTCTGTACATTCTTTATTCTTTTTTCTTTTCAGTTATGTTGGTATGAAATAAATCTTGCTAGTCACTCCTTCCATAAATTATTTATTTGCCCAATTTCTTTTTTCAGGAACCACTTGGTTTTAGCATGCAGGCAGAGCGCGTGAGTGATTAAATGTCTCTTTCTTTCAAGAACAATAACAGCTTGATTAAAAAAAAAATCATCAATCTGTTATCGTTCTTGAATTTCCTTTGCTATGTTGATGTTTTCTGTTTCTCTTTCTTTTGCAAGCCGAGGAACCGCCCGCCCGGCTAGTTCAATTGGGTAAGCGACGGTCTGCCGAGTGGGAGGTCGCGGGTTAAAACCCCGGCCGGACCAACACTCAGAGTCTTAAATAACTGAGGAGAATGTGCTGCCGTTGTTGAGACATCTACAAAATGATTAGACATTCTAGAGTTATCGGATAAGGAAGAAAAACCGTAGGTCCTGTCCCACAGCTCTTTCACTTTTCTGATCATGTGGAACGTAAAGAACCCACAATGCTGTTCGTTAAGAGCAGGGGGCGTAGACCCCGGTGGTGTGGGTGGGTAATGAAGGGGTTATCAATAGGGACGGAAGTCTTGTTTCATTCCCTGTCACAGAGTTGAGTCAACGTGGCGAATTCAATAAAGTTAGTTAAGAATGAATATATATTTTAATGTGTTAACTGAAACACTTAGAGAAGTGTACAGTCTCCTTATTTCACGGCTATATAAACCAGAGAAAAAGTCAAGAAAACAAGTGTTGAAAAAGGTTTCCTATAAGCTTTTGGAAAACGTACCATTTGAATAATGAAATTTTGTCGCAGCGTTGTATAAGTGATAATTCAGAACCTTTTAATTCTGTGGCGGCTATCTCAGTTCTCACCACCCTAAAACGCGGTTTTCTCGCTTTAACGATCCTCTTTAACCACCTTAACACGCGGAGATCTCGTTTTAACCACCGTGAAGCGCAAATATCTCGCGGCTTTAACGATCCTCTTTAACCACAGTGAAACGCGAATATCTCTGCTCGCGGCTTTAAAAATCCCCCTTAACCACCGTGAAACGAAGGGCATTTACTGCTATAATCTACAGTTAACCGATGGGCTCAGTGAACGAATGGGGCTGGATGGAACAAAAATGAAGACTGAGAATAGAATTGAGTAGAAAATATTCAGATAGTATACTGAGTTTATTCATTCATGGTTATCCCTCAAAAGTTTTTCTTCGAAGCATATTTGCGAAAGTGAAGAATGATCATCGCAGTAAATTTTCCAATTTAAGTAATTGGAAAAAAGAAGCCTGAAAAAATCAGGGCTTCAACGGGATTCGAACCCGTGACCTCCGCATTACCGGTACGTTGCTCTACCAACTGAGCTATGAAGCCACACACTGGGAGTGAGGTCAATATTTGCGTTGCTTAGATTACAATTTTTAATCATTTATTTTAACTGACAACTCTTTTTTTTTTTCAGTTTGCGCCATTACGAGAGGCTCCTCCAAATGACTACCGCCTACTGGCCATAGTTTCCATATTCTTTTGTCCTTTGGTTGGCTCGCTGGCTTTTGTCATGTCATATCTTGTAAGTAACGCGGGTTAAGAGTGTATACACTTAAACTGGAATAAGATGTTTTGAAAGAATGGTAAATAAAAAATATAAACAAAAAATATAAACAAGAATAATTAGCTTCACTTGACCAATCCATGGCTTTTAGCGGCGCAATAGATTTTGGACAAAATGAAAACAGCCTGACTCGTCCTCAGTCCTCTTCGTAACTCGAGCGGCGGAAGCAGGGGGTGATGGGATGGGTCTCTTAGTCTTATTTTTGCGTTGGTTTGAGCCCTGCGGGCACTAGTACTCGTTAAAAAAAAGGTCTGGAGTGAATGTGAGGACAGAGAGTATTTAAAGACTGGTAAGAGCTTGTGAATTTTTTTTTTCCGCGCCTTACAAGAACAATTTTAAAAAGAAGAAAAAGAAAAGAAAAAAGGAAAAACGATCGAATCCCTGTATCGCTAGTGTGACTTAATATCATTTTCTATTCATACTTCTTGCAGACAAACAAGCGATTCGAAGCAGATGAGTTAAAGAGAGCGGAAGATGCCTCGAGAGATGCAAAGTTTTCAGCAATAATGGCAATCTTCTTTGGAGTTGCTATCGTGTTATTCTGTATTTTTATATTTGCAATTGTTCCAGTTCTGGCGTAGAAACAATCAAAATGCTATATTGCATGAGATAAGTCACGGCCCACTTTCAACCCAAGTATTTACCCCTTACTAACGTTAAGAAAAAAAAATGCAGCGGACAACTCAGTGCGCTGGAAAAATCATGACCCTACTCATCGAAAAAAAAAAAATTGGCATGATAATAATTTAGGAAGATGAAAGTGGATATGGAACGAAATGTGGAGCATATAAGCTTCGATATATTTTGTAGCGTGTTCTTTTTCTATAAAGTTAATAATAGTGGTTGAATGTTTACGCACGAGATTTTAAACGGGGTGGTTTATTGTGCAAATGGTAAGCAACCCTTATAATCCTTTTTGCCTCGTTAGGCAAATAAACGACATCTGCTTGAGTGCCATTTTATTGTTTTCCCATAAATGGATTGAAGGGGTTTAAATCACATAAGAAAGGTAAACAGCATAATTTTCTAGCCATAAATCATTGCACAACGACAGGTCACTACAGGTAGAAAAAGGATGAAAAATCTGGTCAGAGTTTTTATATAAGTACAAAAAAGTAGCCCTTTTATTTTTTCGGCCATATTCAAGTTCTTTTCTTAACTATCGTTAACACAACTATGACACGGAAACTAAAGAACATTAATTGTTTCTCAAGTGAAATATGAACTTAGAATAATGGCATCAGTTATTTCTAATAACTGTAAGTGGATTCAGGCAATCAGAGTACTCATAATAGCTACTGTGCAGTAATTGATAATTTATAGTTGATTGCAAATTTCAACCAAATCGTCATTATTGTTTATGAATTTGTGATTATGATGCTCTGAATGAATATTTGTACGCGTTTACTGTTATGTATGTCTACTATCCTGGCATGTGTATCAATTGAAAGCAACTTACACATATCTTTTACTCGTTATATGTAATAAACAAAAATTATTCTTATTCAAATCAATTGTTTTATGTCACGATTTTATTATTTGAAAATATACTGGAACTTGACGACCTCATGTACTGCGTATCGCCTGGCCAATCATTCATTACCATTAGATAACCATCTATCCACTTTAGCCAGATAGATATAGAATAAGATGCATATCTCCCTTAAGTAACTTTCACAAATACAATCAACATTTAATATTAGGGAGCTTAAGCAACGATGACGCGGACGGCAACGAAAACAGCAAAAAAGCAATAGGTTTGATTAGCAAAACAACAACTTTGCACGTGCATCACGCTTTTTTTGTACATTTCTTTGCCGTCGTTGCCCGACTACAACGTGAAAGTGCCTAAATTCACGTTTTGTCGAGGACGGGAACACAAGACAACAACTTTCTTTTCTTTTCCTGAACTTTGATACAGTCCTTTAGAATTCAACTCCAAAAACATTTGCCAACATTTGACGAAGTAAACGAGATGGAAT